AATGTTTCCCTTTTAATTTTAGATTCAAAAGAGGAGGCTTGTGTATTAAAATGACTTTGAGAAATTATTTTTAAAATATAATTTTTTCATTTTAAATGCTACTGCAACAGCTGGAACACTTTATTAGATGCTGCAACCAAAGCAGTCTTTCTGTGACGCCTATATTTTTTTGCTAAATTTTTGGACGAGAAAAAAAAAAGAAACAATCTTTGTGTCTGTCCTAAGATATAGTATTGATTTATAGGTGGTGTTATTATCTATCTTCTTTTATAATACATTTGAAAAAGCCTGCAGATGACTTTACCTTGCTCTCTCTGCTGCTTATAGGCAATCCCCTGAATATAGTTTCCTCCTTTTTATAGTAAGAGTTGATTTGGAAATAAAACTGGTTCATAAAAAAGAATCAAAATCTCATCAGCTAACGCAAGGATTGGAGAGAGAAGTTTAGTTACTGATTGCTTGAGATACTTACACTTGTTTTGGTGGTCTTGCAGCTCTGGCTCATAAGTAAAATCAGTTAGGCATTTAAGGATGCCATTGCCTTGGAGATGTCAAAAGGATTGTAGTCAATTAAGGAATGTCTAGTGTACCTTGAGGTTAAGTTAAACAGTGGTGATTATTATGAGATATTTCCATAATTGTCTGGCAAAGAATTTTCACTATTTATATAGTGATACTCATAATATAAAGGCAGATTATTCGGCTCAAAACCCCTACAATCAATCAGTGATACTGTCTATCAAATGTCTCACTCAGCCTGTAGTCATTACAATACCTTTTTTTCTGCCTCCTTTGGAGACATTTGGGATGACTCAATTCCTCTAATCTCATAGCATTCCTTCTATCTTTAGAAGGGAATTTGTAATTGTTGAATTATTCTTGGCCATCCTTCATTCGGAATTTATGTTGTAATTTCAGCAAAAGCCAGACCTTGTACAGCAGTTTTCATCTTTTTCAAGGCTGCTTCTATTTCTTGAAATGCTGGAGGGTTTCCAATTATTCCTTCTGGTCTCTTTGGATGTGAAGTGTAACAGATCATCCCAGAGTCATGGTTCAACATTGTTAAGCTTATCAATATAAATATAATGTTAAACCCTTTTTAGATAATTGGGGCTATGTGTGAAAATGTGACCAATTTACACATAAATTGGTCCTACACTTCTTTCTTTTTCCTTTTACCAGGAAGAATTGCATTGTATGTGGATTTCAGGCTGCTCCTGGTCAGCACTTCTTCCATACCTACTATCTGTTGATTGGGTTGTTCTATTACATCACAACACCAGCCCTAACCTGACGCCAGCCAGCTATACAAACAAAATTCATTAAATCAAACTGAGTTCTCATAGCAAGAGTTTTAAGGCAAACAAAGTGTTGATACAGTGGACACTAATATATGAAACATTGTGGTTTGAAACAGAATCTTTTTAAAAGATGCCTTATTATCTTTAGAATTCAAGAAAGTTGACAATAGGAGTTGTTAGAGAAAGAGAGAGATGAACCATGCAACATGCAGGGTGCACATGCCTAACTACCTAGCTTTGCCTACCTTTCCATGCAAATATGTTTTGCCCACCCAGCTACTTACAGTTGGAAAGACAATTGTTAGAGGCTGCTGTAGAGGGCAGCTGAAAATGTGCCCTTCCTGCTCTCTGTCCCACAGCAAGTGGATATTTGTCATAGAGTTTCTTAAAGTAGTTTGTCTTTTTCCCTGTGTTTATTGTGTTCATAGGAGGGTAGTTTGTAGCCTATCAATATGATGAAGTGAAGTTTAAAATTACATTGGGAGCATGTTTAAAGACCATCCTGTAGGTCCAGGGAAAGGGCTTATCCAGTCTGTTCAGGCCTGACTCAGCCCTGGCAATCCATTATTCATGTTGACCAAAGTAGCTAATCAAGAGAGCTTGTTTAGGCACAGTGTAATGTTGCAGTGATAAAGTTAGCATGCTGTGTTGGTGGATGGCCAACAGAAAGGAGTGTTGCAGAGTTGGCTACAACTGATGGATTGGGCTTGGAGGCTTTCAGAAGGACACTGTGCACACAGAAAGTAACAATGAATAAAGCAGATAAAGGACCAAGGAAGGGCATTGAAGTGGTGAATGATGCACTATAAAATATTACAAATGACACTGTAAAAGCACTAAGAGCATTATTTAATAGCACTGATTAGAGATGGGTGACATTTTTGATATAAAACTGTTATTGTCAGGATTTCTGGTTTGGCTAGCAACCTAAAAAATCAGTGGCCAACATATTGAAAAATCAATTAATCATACAACCCTAGCACTGATGAGGGTTAATACCAGATTTATAGTACAAGGATACTTTCATGCAAATATATGGTTTAGATTAGAAATGTGTGGTTTAGGTTTATTAAGCTAGTAATAATGTCATTTTAATATAATCCATAACAGACAAGAGACTAGGAAATTACAAAAAGGGGATTATTTTTCTTACTCTCATCCTAGAAATTCCACTTAAAAAAAAGCAACCAGTATGGTGTTATTGAATAATGGTCTTGAATTCTGGATATTTCAGAATTACCACAGTATTCTAGCTCATTATTATAGGAAATACAGATGTTCAAAAAAAAAGATGGGACAGTGATAGCCCACCGGCAGCTCTCCATTCCTACCTTCCCAGCCCTGCTGTGGGTAGGCTGTGCTGGCTGGGGAGGGAAGTGACAAGGGGGGAGAGCCTGCTTGCCTCTTGCGTGGCTGGGGGGTGGGCTGCCAGTGGGCCCTGAGCTGCAGGGGGCCCTGGTCCTTCCCTCCATAGTGGTGGTACCCCCCAGGGAGAACCTGCCTGCTAGCACCCTACCCTGGTGGCACTAGGGTAGGGTGCCACCAGGGTAGGGTGTTGCTACCACAACAGGAAAGACTGGGGCCCCTTGCAGCTCAGGGCCCACCAGCAGCTCTCCCCTTGGCTGTGGGGGAGGCAGGCAGGCTCCACCCAGGGTTGAAATGGTGGGTCACAATTAAAAACCCACAAACCTACTATAGACCCCCTACCCAAGCAGACGAGCTTGACCAGGAATTCTTGGGTCAGCTCACTGAGGTAGTAAAAGCTAGGGATGTGGTAGTCATGGGGGACCTGAATTTCCCAGACATCTGCTGGGAAGAGCAGTCGGCCAGGTCCGAGCGCGCACGCAGGTTCTTGGAGAGAGTCCAGGACCTTCATCTAACCCAGGAGGTGCACAGCCCCACCAGGGGGGATGCCTTGTTGGACTTGGTGTTG